GGGGGTGGAGACACTGATTCTGGTTTAGAGACACTCTCCCCTCTTACTCAGTAAATCTGGTCCTGGAACAGCCTCTCCCTGCTCCCTAAAAAACCTCCCTAATCCAAGTCCCCAGAAGAGAGTGAGGCAGAGGGGCTCCCAGCCTCAGTCACGTCTGGAGCAGCATTTAGAAACCCATCACTGAGCCCAAACTTCTAGCCAGAGAAATACTGTCCGGGGGAGGGACGGGAGAGGAAGGAGTGGGAATCCCATCAGCATTCAAACCAGGTTGGCTGCCCACCTCCCACTCAGCTGGGCTCCTGGGGCAGGGTCGGCCAGCAGTGATTAGAGCCCATAGCTTGGCTGGCCCTCTGCCTCTCTCTGCAGTGAGCTCCAAAGCCAGGAGAGTGAATATTAATTCAGCGCGAGGGTCTGGGCAGCTGACCCGCCCCAGCAAGGGCCCCGCTCCAGCAGAGCTAGGGGGAGCTGTGCGTGCAGACCTGGCCTGCCATTACAACACTGCATAAAGGCAAAAACTGGCCTTCACGGGATTGTATTTTTTAAGACAAAGACTAAGCCTGGGAGGTTAAGATGAGCCCAAGCAACAGCAACTCCCACATCTAATTACATTCCCCACAGGGTCTCCTGGCTCAGTCTGGCTACAAGGCTCCTTTCCATATAACCCCCTCACTGCTGGTTTCAACAAGCCCTCTGGGTACAGCTCTGCCGCCATCCCTAAACCCCCTTCCCAAACAGATCTGGTGTCCTGAGGGGGGTACAATGTCACCATGAGCCCTGCCTGCAGTCAACAAGGGAGCAGCAGACCTTTGCTAGCAGAGGCCAGGTCTCCGTGAGTGCCCCAGTGTAGGAACTCTCCTTTCTGGCTTTTATCATGGACCTGGGGAGCAGTTGCACAATTTCATTTGGATCTGTACAGAGGCCTGCGGGGGGCTACAGTGCTCTCTATCTCCACACCTGTTCACTTTCCCATTCCCACCCCCAGGTCACTCTCAGAAAGGAAATGTTGCATCTCAATGAGCTGTAATGAGGGGAATGCGTTTGCAGTCTGCATGCACACACACACACACACACACACACACCCCTCTAGGCTGTACATTCCCCCTGCAGCTTCCAACAGACACCCCATTCTTCACTTCCTGTCCTAAGCTGCTGGGCATTTCAGCAGGGGGTGAAGATGATCCCTGTACAGAGTTCACAGATCCCGAAGAAGTGGGCTGTAGTCCACGAAAGCTTATGCTCTAATAAATTTGTTAGTCTCTAAGGTGCCACAAGTACTCCTGTTCTTTTTGCCAGAGTGCTTTGCGCTGGCAAAGTATTAAAGAAATGAATAAGGGCTATTTTCAGTGGCTGTATTTAGGGGGTCTATGGCTCCTGGGTGCAGAGAATGTCAGGAGTTGCTCCATGTCATACCAGTGGCCCTGAACAGCTTACCATGAAGCATGCTTTGCCTGCAGTTACAGATGACACACATCAGGTGGGGCTGAATGACACAGTGAAAGAGGAAGAGAGGAACTGGAAGGGGGGGGGGGCGGGGGGGAGGAGTTGAGCAAGTTTCCGATCTGCCTAGGACATGCTTGAATGGCTAAGGAGCTATTTTTCCTCATTGAAAACCAGCATCTGGCAGAGACAGTGCCACAGCCCATCGACAGCAGAGGGGAGCAGACAGAGCTGCCCCCTTGGCCAATGTAATAGTCCAATCTATGGTGCCACAGCAAAGTCTCCTCACACTGCTGACATTGGGGCAGCTGGCTGGCAATTACCAGCCCCTGGGCCCATCCAGTTCACAATACTGGCTCCCTATTCTCTCACCATGTTGGGGAGCGGGTATCTGTACAGAGGAGCTCCCGCGTCCTGCTCCACAACCCCAACTCCAGAACAAATAACTTGGCAGAGAGGCTACGCAGGACACACTGGTAACAATCCAATGTCATTGAGCTTCCCAGTGAGTCCAGAAAACCAGAGCCATTCCCCATGCAAGTACTATGGGCTCATTGGCTCCATTGGAACTGTTCTTGCAAGCAAACCCTGCAGGGTTTGGCCCCAACCCATGGCCACCAACCACGCCAGGCCCCTTTAGCCAGGGACACAATTGCTGTATCAAGGTGACCGGCTCATCCTCCAAACCCCCTGCCATAGACACTCCCTATCTTTGGGTTCAACTTCTGCCTGGGGTACCAAAGGGTAGGCAGCATTCCCTCTCCCACATCACACTCCCAGATTGCTCTGATTTAAAACAGAGCCTGCCAGGACCACTGGAGTGGTCAGAGAAAACCCCAGGCTAGCATAACACCACAGCACCGGCAATAGGATATCAAGTGGAAATTAATATTGCTGCTCCTACCCCTTCCACTCAGGTCTTTGGGTAAGTCTCTGCATTTCTATAATGCCCCATCCCTTTCCCAAGTTCCACCAATCCCCCAAACGGCTGTGATGAGACCACATTAACAAGAGGAAAACTGGCTCATATAACTGAGGGCGGGGAGAGATGAGATTAAACATTTCCTTTCCAGGTCACCAACCCAGGATGGTAGTGACCCAAAGTGAATCCTGTCTGCTGTCTGCCCAGCAGCATGAGCTTGATCGGTCTCAGCCCACTTTACAGGAACAGCCACCTCACATAAGGCACCATCACTGCTAGCAACGCCTGGTTCCCTTGCTGGCAGTCACAGCAGAGAGGCCAAGGACTGAGTGGGCAACAGAGGCTGAACTCCCCTCTCTACCTCCAGGGCCGAGAGCAGGCAGCGGGTTGAGAAGCTGCTGCCCATGCTGTCCCCGCAGGCAACAAGCTCCAAGCTCACGGGCTAACAGCCCAGCACTACACTCCCTTCAGGGACACAGGCGTTAACACAGCCAATTGGAGAAATGTCTGCCTGGTGCCTTCAGCAGCGGAAGCTGAACTTCCCCACAATGCATCTGGGCAGCCAGGCAATGCTCCCACGTGGGAGGAAGGGAACAGAATCCTGTGTCCCGTCTCCACCGCCTATTCCCGCCCCCCCCGCTGAGCCCCTGTAGGTTTGGCAGCCGCAGCTGGACTGCAGATCCCCTGCCAGCATCAGCTAGCGGCCTTGTTGGTTAAACACTCTCCTGCGTTTGCAGATTCAGGAGAAACCTTTTCAAAAGGGAGCTCGAACAGCAGCCAAGAGCCATTGCGGCTCAGCCAGTGCCCAGCATTGGCAGACACAAATGTAGGGCAATTTTCCCAAGCGCTCCTTTCACCAAGCGCTGTAGCTGCTGCCCAGGGAGATGGGAGAGCAGC